CTTAACCCAGGACTGCAAAGGTGACAACAAAAACATAGAAACTTCATCTATCATCCTTTCATCCGCTTACATGTATGCAAAACCTCACCAAGTATACTGAAATAACTCCATTAGTTGCATTAATTTTGGTATACTAATGGACAGCCTAGTCAAAAAAATCTATCAGGTCATCAGCATAAAGGGCCAATCTATGCTCTTGATCTCCTAACTGGAAACCAAATATGTCAGTTCTCATTCTGTCATCGCCAGCTAAGAAAAATAGCATTGGAGATAACGGGCACCCCTGGCGAGTGGAGCGCTCCAATGTGATAGGGTTAGAAACTTGTTATCTGTTAAAACGTTAGCTTTGGGATTTGTATACAAAGGTTTAACCCATTTGAGAAAAGTGTTTCCAAATCTATATTTTGGAAGAACATTAAATAAATATGACCCCTGTATTCTGTCAAAGGCCTGACGAGCATCGAGTGATAATAACGATATATCTTTAGCATCAAATTTCTCATGAATTATAATCAAAATCCTTCTTATGTTGTGAAACCCTTGACGTTTTAGTACAAAGCCATTTTGATCATTATGAACTAAATGTGCAATACAGGAGTCTAATCGTCTTGCTAAAACTTTACAAAGTATTTTAGTGCCAACCCCAATTCGTCTAAATGATGAACTCTCTGCAGGGGGTTTACCAGGTTTCAGTAGCAAAGTAATCATTACCTGTCTCAGAGTAGGTGGGAGAGTTTCATTTACGCTTCTTCAGGGTAAAAAGAGGAAATAATAATTTTTCTTGGAAATTTTTACAAAATTCGACCGGAAAGCCATCTGGCCCAGGTGCCTTACCACTGTTAATGCTTTTGATAGCCTGTGATATCTCTTCAATAGCTAGATGTCCGTCTAACTTCTGCTTTGTGTTTTCCGTTAGTGTCTGGAACTGATTTTGATCTAAGAATACGTCCTGTTCTTCTGAGGCATAAGCACATTCTGATTTATACAAATTTTCATTAAATTCTCTAAAGCTGTCATTAATTTCCAATGGATCTACTGTTACATTCCCTAAAGAGGTCTTTATACTATTAATTGTTCCTTCACTCTGCATTTTCTTAATTCTCCATGCCAAAAGTTTTCACGCTTTCTCTCCTTGGTCATAATAAGATTGCTTCAGCCACATTAGACTTTTTGCTGCAGGGATTATTGTATTATTTTAGGGTCTACCTTACAATATAAAGCGCCTTGAGGCGACTGTTGTTGTGAATTGGCGCAATATAAATAAAATTGAATTGAATTGAAAGATGGAGACCAGCACAAAGAGACTTCAAAGCAGTCGTCATGGTGATTCTACTGTAGAAGCATGAACAGGTAGAGGCTGCAGCCTGATTGCAGCAACTTTTTTACTTGTTGTTCAGGCTCTGGCTGCTGGGCTGAGGTCTGCATTTACTCAGCTTTAGCATCACTCTGGGTTCTCGGCTAGCTTAGCATTAGCATGGCATCTGTGAAGGTGCTTGCAAAGAGCTGAAGTTGTGTTAGCAGAATAATGCAGCTGTTTCTGTCCTGGAGCAGTCTCCACTTTACCATAAAATATCCATATTCATGCTGTAGGCTGTGCCACTATTTTCCTTATCCTGCACACAAACTGAAATTAGCTGATTGCCCAAGTGCAAGCAGAACCGATAAGTGTGATCGATAGGCAAAGCATTTTTTCCCCTTTTTCTTAAGGACACGACTTCATGATATCAGGTGCTGTTTATCTGCTGTAGATATCGTTTTAGGCCTCACACTTCTTCTTTAGGCCTTTGCTTTTCTGTTGTCCTCAGTTTTTTTTAACAAAGACACGCTGCTCACAATGCCAAAATGTGCAAACTTTTCAGCTAACAGGTCTGCGAGAATAAACTTGCTGGTGCAAAAGTACTATTTCATGCTGTCAAAATGTGTTGTTTTTTCAATTAAAGCTGTGAAAATGCTAAAGAACGTGTTATGTGTTTTTATGACAGGCTGCTAGTAACAAAGTATCTAAAGATCCTGTTTAAAACCTGATTCTTACTGGAACCATTTAAGTTAAACTGCAGTTTTGAAAGAGGGATGAATGCTTCCATCATCAATAATCTTCTTGCATAATTTTTCTTCTTTATTGCTCCATCTATATACCCTGTATTTCTTTTCTATATTTCACAATGTTCTGACAAACACTAAAATCAAAGTATTTTCCAGAATGCTCCTGTGATCGACGGGGGACTCAGGAGACTCGGTGTCCTCTGGGGAGACCCTGTTTCTGTGATCCGAGGACAGGACAGTGTCCCTGTAGGACAGGTGTGATAGGTAAACTCTGTGATGAATGTGAGGACGGATACTGGAATCTGAACATAGCCTCGGGATGTCAGCCCTGCAGATGTGACCTCATCAAATCTATCTCCAACATCTGTGACAAGGCAAGAGCTCCACAGCCACAGACAGTGTCGGCGTGTGACCACAGGTTTTCATTTATCATTTAGGGTGTGAGGCTGTCACTCTGCTACTCCCCTCACCTCAGAAAAACAGCCTTGTATGTTTGTGTGTCAATTTCAAGGTTGTTTTTATTTCAAATAAAAAACATAAAATTATAAATAATCACCTGCAGTAGATGCTGATGGTTAAACTTTGAATGAATGTGTTGTGACATATTCAGGTAACTGGACATTGTCCATGCCATCCTGAGTTTGGAGGAAGGCACTGTGACGAATGCAGAGAAAATCATTTTAGGAATCCAGACCTGCAGTGTATCTGTGAGTAATATTTCAGTGTTTCCTTTAAGTGGACAATTATTCTTTTCTTTTCTGACATATGTCTCCAGGGGTGTTTATTCATATAAATCGTTCCAAAGTGTCAAATATTGAGGGCAGTGAACCAAAAACCAAAAAAGGGTGCAGACTGTTCTGAACACTCATTTTATCACACTTTTTATACTCTTTGATCTGCTTGATGTCGCAGGATGGGGATATTCTTATATGGTCACTGTAAGAGCTGCACTCAAAGCACAACATCCACATCTACCACTTCTGTCTTATTTGGAAAGTTTGCACTGTTCCAGGAAGAACCCAGGTCAAAGACAGAGTGTGGAAGAGAACCAGAGATTAATATTAACTAATAATTAAATGCAGACAGGTGTATAAATACATCGGTGCATCCTGAGAATCCCCCAGCAGCCTAGACAACTGATCCAACCCTATCTATATGCTTTAGCAAAAAGGAAAGTTTGAAGCCTAATCTTAAAAGTAGAGATAGTGTCTGTCTCCTAAATCCGAACTGGAAGCTGGTTCCACAGAAGAGGGGCCTGAAAACTGAAGGCTCTGCCTCCCATTCTACTTTT